GCAGATAAAACAATCGTACGCATCATCCTTCCGAATGATGCGTACGATTGTTTTATTTATGCGATTTGCGCGAACACTTCTTGGCTCTGAGCTCTTATAATTTGAGGTTAGCGTCGTAATGCGTTTACAATCGTCGTAGAAAGCATATTTGACGAGTGTCAATAATCCTTGAGTTAGGCATGCACCTCGGGACGCCTCTAAATTTCCGAAAAGTGGTTTCGTCAATTATGTCATAGCATAAAAAAAACGACGAGGAGCCCGGCTCAGAGGCGAGGGGGGGGGGGGGGGGGGGGTTTAACGACAACCTTGGCTATTCACCGCCCAACCATTCTTTTTCTTGCAGCGTGCACGCTCGTTGCCGCCTCTATTGACCAACGCGGGGTTTCGGCTAGCGCCCCGATTTCAGTGTGTCAGGCAAAGTTCATCGATGCGTCTGCTTCGGCCCAGGCCGCGGGGAGTGGAAGGAAGCGAGGAAGGCCCCCCTCGCGTATCGGACAGCTGGCGAACCCCGCAAGGAGCCGACGGGGCTTCGAAGAATGGCGGGCGGCAGATGTCCTCCGGAGCTGCACGGGGTTTCCGCGGGGAACCCCCCCGGAAACACGGTCGGGGCGGTGGGGGTCGGGGATCCGAGCCCCACACGCGCCGACCGGGAAAGAGGGACGGCGAGTTTCGGCGCACCTCCGGAGGTACGGGCTGCGGCATTTTGTGATTCAGCCTCCGAGACGGGGAGTCTGAGAAGCGAGCGCCCTGGGCCAATATCAGCTAAGAAACGAGGTCTGCGCAAGACGCCATCGTTAGCGACGAGAGACGCCGCAAAGCGGTAGACGCGTCTGTCTTGGCGCCTGCTAGCGTCGCACCCGGTGTAAAAGACGGCGCGAGACGCGCTGACGGCCATGCTGACGCAGGGGCACTGTGTACTAGTGATGACGTTTGAGGGGGTAGGGGCCTTGTCTTCTAGGTGGCCCCGGCCGGACGAAAGGAGAAAAACCATGGCTGCGACGGCAGGTTGACAAAAGGTCGAGTCTGCCCGCTCTCACCTATCGGCCCGAGCAAAAGTGCGCCCGATACTTTCCTTTCTTGCGACCCTTCCGCTTATAAACAACGACAGCGAGGGGGAAAAGGAAATGAATTTCGCAGAATTTGCGTACAAAACTCATGGTGATACTTGGCACGCTCCGGCAAAGGAAGGAGGATTAACAGACGTCTCGCAAAATCGAAGCGATCGGCGTATAGTGTCGCACAAAGCTTCTTGGGAACTCCCATGTCCACTCTTTGCTAATCTCAAATCACATTTTGTCACTACCGAATACGGTGCATGAATTTTCGAACGTGTGACTTTTCTTAAATTTATAATAGTGTACATGTTGCCTACCAATCGGGATCAAATGGCTGGGCACGTTTTCACGAGGCTTTCGACGCACCAGAGTTTGTGCGCAGGTTTCACGTTTGTAATATGAAACAAACGTGAGAGAATTAAAGTTTTGCGTTTGGTATTTAGGTAAATTTTGGTTTGTACGCGAATTAACCTCAGATGTTCGACGTTTCTAGTGCATCAGGAGCTTCACTTCGCAGCAGCAGCAGCGGCACTGAAACAATTTCGTCACTAACTCAGTGGCCTGCTGTATCACAGGTTGGAGATAGGTTCATATCTTTGTGCTTTCGTTTTGATATTGGCTGCTATTGATCTTGCTTTTCTAATCTTTAGAGGTTTGTTTTTTTGTTTGTTTGTTTTTTGCCGTAAAACTAAACTAGTCATCGCCGAACGTTCATTCTCCGCCCAAAGGTAGCTCTAGAGGTCACAACCAGATACCAAAGTTTGAGTCCGATCTGATACTTTATTCAAAAGTTATAAGTGATTTTCTGAAAATTTCAGTGGGTAAAATGGCGGCCGACGGAGTTTTCAAATACATGGGGCTCTATGGCACCAGAAACTGGAAACGGGCTAAAATGGGCTCTATTTTCCCATTGAATTTTGCAGAAAATCACATAACTTTTGATTAACTTAAGGCG